GGCGGGTCTGCACAGTTCCCAGGTGTTCTGGAGTTTCCTGTTCTGAATCTCTGCCAATAAAAACATAAACAGTCTCTGCGTGGGTGGCACCAGGCTAAGCAGGTGCTCAGAACTGTGGTGAGCTGACTGTTCAAGTTATGTTTAAGGTTTAGCTTGTTTTTGTTAAGGTTTGCTTGTTTAATTTGAATATAAGACCAGGTTTCTAGCTAAGTGGTAATAACTCTGGAATTCTTTTCCAAAAACGACATCACAGGATTTCTGATGACTTGAGTAGGAGACACTATTGAGAGAATATTCTAGAGAACATGCAAGTAAATATGCAGTGAACAGTTTCAGGTTGGGGACAAGGGTAGGATTCTACTTTCAGGACAACTTTGACATAAGTACAATTTTTTTCTAGCCAAAAAGCTGCTCTTAAGTTCAACTTAATTAAAGTAAATACTGATATCATGTAGCCCAATCCTAAATGTGCAAGTTGCAACTTCCTTATCTATAAATGGAGGTAATGACATACCACAAGGCCAGTCTAAAAAATAATGTACCCAAAAGCCTTTTCTTTATGATAATGGAATGTATTATTCCATTTTCATACTGCTATGAAGAAATATCCAAGGCTGGGTAATCTATAAAGAAAAAGAGGTTTAATGGATTCACTGTTCAACAAGGTTAGGAAGGCCTCACAATCATGGCAGAAGGTGAAGGAGGAGCAAAGGCATGTCTTACATGGTGGCAGGCAAGAGAGCATGTGCAGCGGACTGCTCTTTATAAACCATCAGATCTCCTGAGACTTAGTTCACTGTCATAAGAATAGCACAAGAAAACCTGCTCTCATGATTCAATTATCTCCCACCGGGTCTCTCTCATGACAAGTGGGGATTATGGGAGCTATAATTCAAGATGAGATTTGGGTGGGAACACAGCCAAACCATATCAGGGAATATAAAAATCACCACTTTAACAAATATGGATCATCTTTAAAATACCTTTCACAGAATGTTTTATTAGAATAGGTTGAAATTAAGTTCTCTGTCTACCATTTTAAGCATAATTTGTAACTTATTTGAATTGATTCTCAAAACTCCAAAATGTAGCTACCCTCAATATTCCAAGTGCATCAAACACATAACAATTGGATAAAATCAGCATTTGTGTCTCAAGGTTGTGACATAAGAATAAAATGGCCAACCATTTCATCAGAATCTCACAAGGACCAACCATCACATGAAGAGAGGAGTGGCACACACAGAGGCACAGAGACAAAAAGCAGCAAGACAAATTTGGGCCAGTGTAACACTTACAGGTTGACTAGAACACAAACACCAATAAGGGGAGAGGCAGGGACAAGGCTAGAGGGCCAGACAAGGGCTAGAGCTTGCAGGCCTTCGGAGTAGGGAGTTTGATGTTTTCCTAGAAGTAATGAGTGTCACTGGGCATTTAAAGAGAAAAAGCATATGGTTCAATCTTCTAGAAAAATTACTCAGATATACAACTGAGGACAAGCCATCCTGTTAAGGGATCATGACAATAATTGTGGCCAATAGTAATGAAGGTGGCCAGGCATGGTAGCTCATGCCTGTAGTCCCAACACTTACGGAGGCTGAGGCAGAAGACTCACTTGAGGCCAGCAGTTCAAGACAAGCCTGAGCCAAAAAGCAAGATGCCATCTCCACACACACACACACACACACACAAATTTAAATTAGGTGGGTGTGGTGGTATGTGTCTGGTGTTCCAGATACTCAAGAAGCTGAGATAGGAGGATTGCTTGAGCCCAGAAGTTTGAGGCTACAGTGAACTATGATCATGCCACTGTACTCTAGCCTGGGGAACACAGTGAGACCCTATCTCAAAAAAATAAAATAAAAAGTAAATAAAAAGAAAAGTAAAGTGAATTTAGACACAGCAGTGAAAGAAAAGGGAGACGGATTTATGAGGCATTCAGGAGGTAAACACAAAAGAACTCTGATTTAGCAAAACAGGTAAGGAAGGAGGAGAAATAAGAAGTTAAGATAAATTCCAGGTTTCTGACTTAAACAACGAGAGGTATCATGCCCTGAGAAATGAGAAGGAGGAATATGGATTCAGAAGAGTGTCGACAAGTGGGCTGTCATTTTTGGTATTAGAGGAAGGTTGTAGGGAGTGGCTGAAAAATGAGTTCATGTTAGTTCAGTATGATGTACCTGTGTACTCAAATGAAACTGTCCAGAAATAGTAAATAAGGGTGTTGAACACAGAGATGATATTTGGAAATAACAGCCCCAAGACAGTGGATGGAAGAAGGCAGGAAAAGTGAAGTAAGTACATGGCCAGGGACTGAGCCCCAAGGAACTGCAACAAAAAAGATGTAGCAAATCACATCAAGAGCAAAGAACAATTTATTCTAAAAGACACCTCAAAATCTCACCTGAAAAAAATGTGTTATGGTTTGTTTTGGCTAATTGGGTTCTTTCAGTAGTTTATTTTATTGATAAAATTCAGTGGAAAAACACCATAGGAATCTCACATTATTGTATTTAATTAGAATTCACTATATAACTATTCAGTCTTGCACTGAATTAAGAAACATTTTGGAAATGAAGTAGGAAATGCCCACCCCGTACTCATTATTATTCCGAAATCCCAGAACCATTTTTATAATCTTCTCACTTATTTTAACAGGTAGTTTAGATTGGTTTATTGCCGTAAGTGAGTTCTGTTAGCTTTTCTACCTCTCTTCCAGTATAAATGACAATCAGGTATTTTTCTTATAGTGAAAGATGTATAGGATCACGAAGCAGATCATTCGTTCATTGTAAGTAGCTCAACAAAGCACTATTACTAAAAACTTTTCTAAGATAAAGAAATAGCTAGTTATGCAGGCTGCATTTCCTACCAAACAAAATCGCTTTACTATAAAGGCAAAACACAGCAGTTGCTTCTGAACTGCAGCCAAAAATTCCTATAATCTAGGTGTCACATACAACTGTATGATGTAGATAACAGTATAACTGTAAACATGAAAACTTGGTGTGAGGGGAACAAATTCGGAGGAAGCACTAACTGCCTTGAAGTTTCAGAGGAGCTAGCAATATATAAGGAGAGGTACTGCAAGATTCATCCATCCCTAAATGCTACTGAAAATCCTATTTTGTGACTGTAATCGTCTAAAAAGAAATCTGTCTCCATATAGGGAGTGTAGAGTTGCATTAAAGATTATAGCCAAAGAGCCTCCCTTTCAGGACCTTTTTGATAATCTACTTTTAAACTACTGAATTTTTAATGTTTTGATTTACACTTTTTTTTTTTTTTTTGAAACAAAGTTTCTCTCTTATTGCCCAGGCTGGAGTGCAACATCACAATCTCAAAACAAAACAAATAAATAAACAAAAAAACCCTAGGCTCTTCATTAGTTCCATGGGTTTTCCAGTATCTAGCAGAGTTAAAATAAAGTTGCACTTTTTTTTTTTTTTTTTTTTAGATAGAGTTTTGCTCTTGCCCATGCTGGAGTGCAGTGGTGCTATCTTGCTTGGCTCTGCAACCTCTGCCTCCCAGGTTCAAGCGATTCTCCTGCTTCAGCCTCCCGAGTAGCTGGGATTACAGGCACACCCAACAACACCCAGCTAATTTTTTGTATTTTTAGTAGAAACAAGGTTTTACCATGTTGGCCAGGCTGGTCTCAAACTCCTGAACCTCAGGTGGTCCACCTGCCTCAGCCTCTCAAAGTGCCAAAATTGACTCTCTAAGGAAAAAAACAGTGTTCCACTTAATTGCATTTTTAAAAATTCTTCCCCAAAGTGTCTAATTCCTCTCTACCTAGGTGAGAAGCATGCACATGTGAACAGGTAAAAATTCAACTAAAAAGAGGCAACTTGGCTGGGTGCAGAGGCTCACGCCTGTAATCCCAACACTTTGGGAGACAAAGGCGGGTGGATCACGAGGTCAGGAGTTCAAGACCAGCCTGGCCAACATGGTAAAACCCCGTCTCTACTAAAAATATAAATATTAGCCAGGTGTGGTGGTGGGCACCTGTAGTCCCAGCTCCTCAGGAGGCTGAGGCAGAAGAATCACTTGAACCCAGGAGGCGGAGGTTGCAATGAGCTTAGATCACGCCAGGGCACTCCAGCCTGGGCAACACAGAGAGGCTCCGTCTCAAAAAAAGAGACAACTCAAGCTCAGCTTGCTCCCTCAGACACAGCAGGATGTGTAAGGCAGTCCTCTAAGTGCCATGTCATCGGCAGCTGGGCACCATAATGGGGCTGTGATGCCATCAGCATTTTTCATTGGTTCTACTGCCCAACTTGGAGTTGGCTTACTTCCCCTTTCCAAAGTCTTAATTTCACCAAGTGAGATTTATAACCATAGAGAAAGAGGCGTCAAATGCCTTCCCCACCCCCATCATCTGTTGAAATGACCTTAGAATTTCAGCCTTTTAGAATAACGTTGAGTCCTGTTACATTGCAAATCCTTCAGGGAAATATTCTATTACTTCTGATCTGTTATTAATTTGTATCCCACAACAGATACTAAGCTACTTGGAAACAGTAGCATTTTCTCTCAGTCATTATCTCCAGTGCCTACCACAGAGCCCAAAACAGTGTGTTAGATAACTTGGTAAACATTTATAAGAAAGAGAATTAACAGTAAGATGTGTAAACTTGCTTATACCTTAGTGTGAATGAACTTCTTCAGGCCCTTTCCTGAGAAATTGTGGGTAGATTACCCATTGTGTAGGAAGAGTTAACAGAGCCCTGAGAACTGAGCCTAAGAGTCTCCTCCTCAGTTCTGCCTAGAAACATTGTCCTGCTGTGGCTCAGTCTAAAAGAGCATGACTCTTCAGAGGAAGAAACAGGGACTCTAATCTTTCAGACTTCTTTCTAATCCCAGAATGTGTGGTAGAGCACTCAACCAATCACCAACACTTAAATTAATCAACAACATAAAGAACATCATATTTGCAGAATGTTATCTAGTCAATGCAATATGATGAATGAATAAAACCCAGCTCCTGGTGCTTGCTTCAGCAGCACTTTGAATGACAATTTACTAAAATTGGAATGACACAGAGATTAGCATGACCCTTGCACAAGGATGACATGCAAATTCACGAAGCAGTCCATATTTTAAATAAATAATAAAAATTAAAATCCCAGCTTTTGCAGTCAGATAAGCCTGGGGTTGAATTCTGGCTCCACTTCTTACTTAAACTCTGTAAGCCCTGAGTTCCCATATCTGAACAGAAAGATATTAATAAAGTCTACCAGAGAATTACGGTGAGATTTAAACAGGAATGTATCTAAAATGTTTACCCATAGGGAAGTACACAAGAAATGTGCTCCATCATTTGGAGACCTAGATTCCATTCCACCACCACCTCTTTGTATATCCTTAGGCTAATCACTTGCCATAAAAAAGCGAATGCAAACAAGGAGCCAGAACTAACTGTACTCTAACACCAGGAATATCAATCATAAGTAAGGTAAAAGGAAATAGACCAAAACTTTGAAAAATAAAAGCCTTAAACAAATTACAGATATTTTTTGGCATGTATTTGAAGCTTGTATATGCTTGATCACAGATGACTCAGCATTCGACTATCAAAATGAAAAAGCCTGAACAATTAAACTTCAAAGCAGATATTCTCAAATAACAGTGCCTGTGGTACATGAGGGACTTTATGAAACACCTATGTGTGTATCTGTGCACTGAGGGAAAGTGAAAGGGGTGGGGGACAGGGGAAGAGAAAGAGATCTCAACAATATATGGCTTAAAGACTATCTTATAACCATATTTTCCACCATTAAGTTTAAATCTGTTTTCTTCCTCAGCCCTTAACATCTGTCAGTCATAAACATATTACCTAGCACCCGAGTAATGGCCATTGTTCAATCTAGATGCTGTGTTAGACACGGCCATTACCAAGTGCATAGGGTCCTTTTGTGGGAATCAGACAAAGGGCACCCAGAACCCAGGCTGGTTTTCAGTCCCCACTTACCCCTGAGTTGGGCACCCTTGTGCAATGGCACAACCATATACAGATATACAGCAGTCAGGCAGAGAAGCACAAAGATCTTCACACGTTTAACTAGCATACCTATAAAACTGTGTATATAATACATACCCACACATACACAAACATGACTGAAAGAGTTGTCAAAGACTGAACTGAGTAAAAAGAAGATATTAATCAAAACAGAAAACACGAAGTTTCAGAGTACAAAAGAAAAATGAGGTCCTTCCCTCACTTGCAGCTACCCACTAATGGGATATTGTAGCCAATTGGAACTTTGGGGACAAGTAGTAAGTAGAGGCTTTAGACACTGCAAAATTCTGATCCCTGGCAAAGCTATGATCTCTCTCCAGCAATTGCTCTCTCTCTCTCAAAAAAAAAAAAAAAAAAAAAAAAAAAAGACAGACACCAAAGGATCTACTTACCTGAATTTGCAAAAACGATGATAAACGGAAGACTGCTGTTTTCTCGACTGCATTAAAACTCTGTAATCCCAAGCAGGAATTATGCTAAATGTTGGAACTCGTCTTTAAATGTTAACTCTGTCAATTCTGCCTTCTTTTGAGGCTTTTCCCTCTAAGACTCTCAATACTTACATAGAAAAGACACCAAACTATGTTTGTTTTTTATTATACATGCATATCTCCCCTGCTATACTTCACATTGATTACCTTCCTTAAAATGTAAGGACATGTTATTATATTTTTAACACTTTTTGTACCTAGCCCATTGACCTGCATACCACAGCAGTTTCAATAGCTATTTAAAGAACAGAAATTCCAGGTTAAATATGGTACCATATTCACATGCACAAAGAGACAGTGTACAATATTCATTGCAGCATTGTTTAGAATGAATTTGGAAGCAATCTAAATGTCCGTCAAAGGCAGAATGCATAGAGTGTAATATAGTCAAACAATGCAAACCATACAAGTTAAAATGGAAGAAATTTGAGTTATCAGTTCAAACTGAGGTATTATGTGTATAAGTCACAAATGTGATGTGGAATGGAAGAAATGTAAGTTGCAGAAAGATACAAATAGTATAACAGTATTTTTATAAGGTTTTAAAACTCTCAACACAACCCAGCATTACCTTTGTTTTAGAATTTGTTACAGTCTTGCACATTCCGTGTTGCATACTAAAGACCTAAGAAATAATTCACTCTAAAAATAATAGAAAATCAAGGTTTTAAAAAAAGACTATTAATCATATAAAGTTACCCCAAATGACAGGAAGGGAGTCTGCTTTAGTAATGGAAATCACTTAGCCCTTGAAGTCAGTTGATACACGTTTTATTGCCATTCTGCTACCCACCAAGACACTTTCACTGAGCTACAGTTTTCTCACCTGAATGGGATTGACAGCACTCACCTTGCAGGATAAAGTGAAATAATTTATGTTAAAGTGTCATGCAGAAGGTGTTAGACTTGTTTTTGCCTAATCAGGCGAAAAGATATAATAATGCTCTACAGGGAGAAAATACTGAATCTGCACCTTTTATATCTAATTTACTATATGGTTTTTTAAAATGTCAAAAAACACAAGAGGAAGAGGAAAGAGGCAACCCCTCACCTTCCTCTTCCTAGTCCCTAATCCGGCTGCCTCCCATGCTTTCTACATTTAGCACAGAGGGCAAAGTGGGGGGGGGGGAGGGGGGACGGCAGGAAGGCACGGAACCGTGACTCTTCCAGGGCTCCCTTCGGAACTCCAAAGAGATTTGTGGCCTTCGTACAAATCTCTTTCATTTCGCCAAACTCCACCGCCCGCCCCGCCAACATACTCACACCCCTCTGCGGCCCAGTAGGCAGATGTACAACTACACAAATGGCACAGTCACGAAACAGACCACAAAAACGACACTGCGATGTCTGGGGTTGAAGGTTCTGGGGTTCTGTTTGTTTTTATACATTAAAGGGAAGGGCTCCTGTGGGCCGTTACTGTCTGCTCTGAGGAGTGGAAAGGACGATCTCGGCACGTAAGTTCTGCCACCTGCTTGCAAACACAGCTCTGCAGCTGGATTCCACATAAAGACAGGCACCCCGAAGTCCCAGAAACGGCAAGCTCTGTCAGCAACCCGACAGACCCCCCGCTCGCACCCTCTGGCACGGGGACCCACCGACGCAGGTACTCGGGGGCGGGCACAGCTCACACCCCACACGCGGAATGCGCTCTGGGGCCCCTTGCGGGTCCCCCAGGCTGGCCTCGGCGGGCGCCGCGCCTCACCTGTCTTAAAGACCATCTTATCATCATCTTTGGAGCCGAAGGTCTTCAGCATGGACACGAAGAGCACCCCGCAAGCGTTCTGGATGCCGAACACCGACCCATTGCACCACATGGCCGCCAGCATCACCAGCCAGCCCCAGCCGCCCTCTGGGGGCTCGGGGGGCTCACGGGGCTGCGCGTCCGCCGGTCCCGCCAACTCCACCTCCACCTTCTCGACCGCCGCCTCCGGGCTGTCCGAGGTTCCCGGGCCGGGCGGCGGCGCAGCCCCCGTGGGCGCGGGGCCGAGCGGCTGCGCCTCGCCGGTGCCCCGCGCGGAGTCGGGCTCCTCCTGGGAGAGCACCATGGCCCGAGGCGGCCCCCTCAGGTGCTGGAGGAGCGCTTAGGGACGCGAGTTACCCGCCGGTTCCCGCGGAGCTGCGGGGCTCCCGGCAGTCTAACGAGGCCGAGGCGAGGACGGCGGAGCCCCAGGCGGGCGGGCGGGCGGCCGGGCGGGCAGCGCGCAGGCGGCCGCGAGGACAGCTGGCGCGCGCGAGCACCTCAGGGATCGGCACCGAATCCTCTCGGTGACAGCCCCGCACCCCCAACTGAGCCCAATGCCAGCCGCCGGTTCTTAAAAGCACCCGCAGCCTCGCCGGCTGGGGGCGTGGCCGGGAGAGGGATGTGCTCCCACAGCCTCCCGATGATTGGGCCTCGGAGAGCGGAGGCGGGGCGCCCCGCGGCGCGCGGCCCCAGGTGCCGGCTGCAGACGCTGTCTGCGCGCGCGTCTGCGACGGGGCCTTCTCCCGCTCAGAGAGGGGCACAGATGTGTGGGTCACCCCGCCTGAAAGCACGAGCAGAAGGGGCGCGTCTCCTAGGTGCGGGCGCGGTGGGCCTTCGGGAGAGCCACACCGGATCTTAAGCCTCAACTCACCCTCACAGCGTCACAGTCACCCTAACATTGTCTCGATTTTGTGTTTGTTTTACGTCTTGGCATTCACCTCTCAGTACTAATTATAATCTGTAAGATTCGTTATGCCACCTGCCTGCTTAAAAAAGAAGTCTGAAGGATCAAAGGCCTTATTTTATTACTTCAGCGCCATTCTCCTGCTTTCGTATACAATTTCCTTATGAATATTTGGCCCACCGAAGATGCCTATTTTCAGTCTTCTCTGCAATTTCAAAGTCTTCAACCAACAAACATTTCTAACAGATAGCTAGAAAGCATTACTTTTCAACTACAACACAGTCGTTTTCACTTTAAACGAAAACTAAAACCTGTATTCAACTCCTCTGTCTCCGTGAAGTATGGAGTGCCATCTGATGTAAAAGAAAGGAAGAGTAACCTGCCATGCAATTTTAAGGAGGCTTCTTAATTTCTGTTATTCGGATTCTTCACTTCAAAGTCAAAATATGCTAGTTATTTGATGTGCCCACCACTGTGATAGACTACACAGATGAGTGCAATTGATCATATTTCTGCCTCTATCAGTTCATAAACTGATAGGAAAAACAGAGTCCTGGGAGAGACTAGGAGGCTCTGATGATGTGTTTTAATACAAGCACAAAAGAGACAGTGACGTAGTCCCTTAAATTCTCTCCAAAACTGATTCATGCGTACGACTTCAGTAGGTGAAGACGGAAAAAGAGCATTCCAGGTAGAGAAAATAGCATAAACCAAGGAAAGCAAGGCGTGCTTGCTTGCGGGAGGCGGAACATAGCTCAAGTGTAATATGCCTTGGAAATGAGGGTAAAACAGTAAACTAAGGAATAGGCACAGGTGCACAAAAATGAATGTATGAAGATGTTACCCTAGTAATGTTGGAAATAAGGAAAATTTGGAAGTATAATGTACCTTGATAGAGGGCTGATTAAATACATACTTTATAACCTCAAAAAGTTATGAAGATCATCTCTATTTATTGACTTTGAAAGTTGTCCACAACATATTATTGAGCAAAGAAAGCACATCGAATATATATTTACGCACGTGCACACACACATATGTAGGAATTATCCATGAGGCAATACTGATGTAAGTAAATGATTAAGTAAATAAATAATGAGGAGAGAATATACAAATCTCTCCTGCAGGAAATGTAAATACTTTATGTAAATACTCCTCCCTCATGGGGGTGAAGTACGATGGTTCACTCCATAAGTGTGGGTATGCATAGTAAATTTCTTCCAAAGAGTATACAGCATGAAAACAGGAGTAGGGGGAAGGAGTAACTTTAGGGTACAAAAAATGGCATACAGTACCTCAACCAGATGATAATGTATCCCTGATATGATGTGATGAAAATGGTACTTTACCTCTATAATCTTCCTGCCAAAACCCATAATCCCTGGCTAACCAGCAGAAAAACATTAGACAAATCCCAATCAAGGACAGTCAATGAAACACCTGTTAAGTACTTTTCATTTCTGTAAATGTCATCAAAAACAAGGAAGTCTTAGAAATTGTCACAGTCAAGAAGAGCCTAAGAGGGCTGGGTGCCGTGGCTCAGCCTATAATCCCAGCACTTTGGGAGGCTGAGGCGGGTGGGTCACTTGAGGTCAGGAGTTTGAGACCAGCCTGGCTGATATGGCAAAACCCCATCTCCATGAAAAATATAAAAATTAGCCAGGCATAGTGGCATGGGCCTGTAATCCCAGCTACTCAAGTGGGTAAGGCAGGAGAATTGCTTGAACCCAGAAGGCAGAGGTTGCAATGAGCAACCTCTCACTTTGAGAGATCTCATTGCTGAGACCAGCAACCAGGCTGGTCTCAAACTCCTAGCCTCAAGCAACATTAAGACTCCGTCTCTTTAAAAAAAAAAAAAAAAATTCTTCTAACCACCAATAAGCTATTGTGAGCTATTGAATGAAGCAGAGTTTTAGGTGTCCAGGAAAACTTCCTTCTATTTCTATGTCCATACCAATCAATAACTCACACTGTGTTATTGGATTGACTTCACCTTCTCCATCTGAAAATATGAACCTGTTTACTTATAACTATATCATAGTGATGGTATGTTTATAATGAGTTCCTATTTATTAAGTGTTTTAAGATTAGATGAAAAGATTTATAAAATTTAAAAAAGTATAATTGTTCATTAAGTCTAAATGCCATCAGTACTTTATGTAGGACAGGCGTCCCCAAACTTTTTACACAGGGGGCCAGTTCACTGTCCCTCAGACCGTTGGAGGGCCGCCACATACTGTGCTCCTCTCACTGACCACCAATGAAAGAGGTGCCCCTTCCTGAAGTGCAGTGGGGGGCCGGGTAAATGGCCTCAGGGGGCCGCATGCAGCCCGTGGGTTGTAGTTTGGGGACGCCTGATGTAGGCCTTTTCATCTGTAGTTTATGTTAAACTTATTTATTAAATAAAATAATCTACTTGATTCCTTATTCTATTGTTTTTTTCTTTTTTCTTTTTTTTTTTTTTTTAGACAGAATCTCACTCTGTTGCCCAGGCTGGAGTATAATGGTGAGATCTCTGCTCACTGCAACCTTTGCCTCCTGGGTTCAGCGATTCTCCTGCCTCAGCCTCCTGAGTAGCTGGAACTACAGGTGCCCGCCACCACGCCCGGCTAATTTTTGTATTTTTAATAAAGACAGGGTTTCACCATGTTGACCAGGCTAGTCTCGTTCTCTTGACCTCATGATCCACCCGCCTCGGCCTCCCAAAGTGCTGGGATTACAGGCGCGAGCCACTGTGCCCAGTCCCCTTATGCTATTTTAAAAGACCAATATTTCCTATTTAGGACAGTCTTATTTATTTATATTTTATTTTATTTTTTCAGCTAGAGTCTCACTCTGTTGCCCAGGCTGGAGTGCAGTGGCATGATCTCAGCTCACTGCAGCCTCTGTCTCCTAGGTTCAAGTGATTCTCCTGCCTTGGCCTCCCAGGTAGCTGGGATTATAGGCAAGCACCACCACACCAGGCTAATTTTTGTACTTTTAGTAGAGACAGGGTTTCAGCATGTTGGCCAGGCTGCTCTTGAACTCCTGACCTCAGGTGATCCACCCGTCTTGGCCTCCCAAAGTGCTGGGATTACAGGTATGAACTACCGCACCTGGCCTGCTCATTACTAAATGCTAAAATGCTGAATTACTTTAAGTTGAATTACTAAATACTAAAATGCTGAAACATGTGGTTATGGATTTCCATTTATACTATATGTAAATCCAATACATGCATGGTACAGGCTACTGTACTACAATTTTAATTAATGTTTTCAATCTAGTGCCCAAGAGCAGCTTTGTATTGCCTTAGTGGCTATGAACAAAATTTAAAACATAATTTTTCCATGTCTCTACTCTCCAAATTATAAAATAGAAATAGTACTATACTATAGTGGTAATTATTTGGCAGGAAGCTGGAGTACTACTGAACTGTTACAATACATAATTTTAGGCCAGGTGTGGTGACTCACGCCTATAATCCCAACACTTTGGGAGGCCAAGGTATGGGGATCACCTGAGGTCAGGAGTTGGCGGTCAGCCTGGCCAACATGGCGAAACTCCATTTCTACTGAAAATACAAAAATTGCCCTGGCCTGGTGGCAGGTGTCAGTAATTCCAGCTATTCAGGAGGCTGAGGCAAGAGGATCACTTGAACTTGGGAGGCAGAGGTTGCAGTGAGCCAAGATTGTGCCATTGCACTCCAGCCTGAGTGACAGAGCAAGACCCCATCTCCAAAAATTTAATTTAATTTAATTTTAAAACACACAGAGATATACACATGATCTAGAAACCTTATTGCGAATGCCTTGGTTAAAAATATGCCAAAGAGATTATTCAACATTGGCTTGTACAAGTGATAAATTACAAATTTGGTGGGGAAAAAAAGTACTTTATTTATTTATTTTTCTTTGAGATGGAGTCTTGCTCTTCCCCCAGGCTGGCAGTGGCATGATCTTGGCTCACTGCAACGTCTGCCTCCCAAGTTCAAGTGATTCTCCTGCCTCAGCCTCCTAAGTAGCTGGGATTACAGGTACATGCCACCATGCCCAGCTATTTTTTGTATTTTCAGTAGAGATGAGGTTTCATCATGTTGGCCAAGCTGATCTTGAACTCCTGATCTCAAGTGCTTCGCCCACCTCGGCCTCCTACAGTGCTGGGAGTACAGGTATAAGCCACTGCACGGGGCCAAAAAATGCACTTTAAAAATGAGACTGAATTAACTCTCTCATCTCCACTTTTTTACCTCTCTTTTGGAAGTCTCCTCAATCTGATCCTCTCTGGCATTACTCCTAATCCTCCCAAATCCAAACTAAAACCTGGGACCCCTTGCTGATCTACGTCTCTCCTGGTTCCCTTGAGTACACTCTGGTCAACTCTAGGTCCAAAAGGTCTTTTGACTGGTTCCCTATTTTCTGTACTTGCTGCTGGTTCCTTAATGATTCCTTATCATTTTCAAAGACCATCATAATGACCCACTAACTGGTCTTGCTGCCAGCAAATTCTGCCTGCACCAATTCATCTTTTACCCTATACCTGCCCAAACTGTTCTCCAGCCTTAAGCCTGCTCCTCATTTCAGCAACAAGTACAAACACCTCTATTCCTCCCTGCAGATCCTGCTTCTGAAATGACCTTCTCTCCCCTTTTCTGAATGATGAAATCTCACTCAATCTTCAAGGCTCAACTCTAA